CTGCTCTTATGCTTTTCATATTTCGTGGAAACTATAGATTTTTATGCAGCTATCTGGGTAAAGAGGTTTATTTCATACAACCTACGGATTTAGACAGCTGGTTCTTTAGATATGTTGTATTTCATTGAAATTGTTGATGGCAGAGTTGTAGCTACTAAAGTGATTGACTTGAAGAGATACCTGAGAATACTTCTTTGTTTCCTTGGCTCTGCAGTTAATACTTTCATATATTTTCTTCATCATTCTCTGAAAGATTCTTTAGTTGCTGAACCTCAAACCGTCTTTTGATTTTTTTTCCCAGTGTTTTAAACTGTATTCTGGAGTTTGGATTAATTGTTTTACTTTGCTCTATCTGTTAATTTGGCTTATACTATTTGTTTGTAATGTCCTTGTTTCTGAATTTTGAAATTTACATATTTTTAGTCGCTAAACTGTTTCATTTGCATTGAGAATGTCAGACGAGATCTAAGAGATTCCTGGAAATTCAAAAGTTGAGGGAGAACAAGCAAGAATATGATGTGAAGACCGCAATTTCTTTGCTAAAGCAAATGTCAAACACAAAGTTTGTGGAGTCAGCTGAAGCTCATTTTCGCCTCAACATTGACCCTAAATACAATGATCAACAGCTAAGAGCAACAATGACTTTTCTGAGCTTACACTAACAAGATGGAACCATTTCTGTGCCCTCTGGAATCTGACGTGATAATTGATCTTCTCGATTTATCTGACTGTTTTTTGCCCATAGGTCAATTTGCCCAAAGGAACTGGGCAAACTGTTAAAGTGGCTGTTCTTGCTCAAGGTAGATAATTTTCTTTGATGTGTGATGAGCTATTACTTGCTGCTTGTTTCTCATTTATAAATAGCAGAAATGATATTCTTCCTAAGAGGACATAATTCCATGACGTAGTTAGATCTTGATATTGTTAATACTTTTATGTTAGAGCTTCATAGTCTATTTTTCTCTTAGTGACTAGAAGTCTTTGTTTGAGGGAGTTTGCGATTGTTATTGTCAGCTCTATATGAGGGACGTCACGTTCTGCTTTTTCTGATTGAATTCTGTGGATTATGTACTTAAACTTGGCATATGTTCTTGCCAAGTTAAT